TAACCAACTAGGCAGCAGATTGAGGGGCTAATGAGCAGATAGACTTAATGGGCATAAAGCCCAATTCAAACTGGCTTAATAAGATTAATTAAAAGAGGGCGGTTCTGGATTTAGATCAGCAAATAGGATAAGAGATTATCCCTGTCCACACAAAGAGTCTCGATCCAAATAAAGATTTGAATCAGGAAACTCCTACTTAGATTAGGAATGTTGATCTTTATCTGTAGATAAGATAAGGGATTATCCTTATCTCTTAAAGAGAGTCCAGATCCAAATAAAAGACTTGGATTAGGAAACTCCTAATGGGATTAGGATAGCCTCTCTTTAAGGCTATAAATAGAAGAGTAGGGCGAACCTCCAGATTATCTTACAGACTGCTGAATTTCAGAGAGAGACAACACAGTTTGACTGCACTGTCTTCTTCTCTCCTGCTCTTGCCGCCCTACCAGTTCGATCTCCACCTGTGGGAGTGATCAAAAAATGTTCTTGATATTACCTTTTGGTAGAAAAGGTAATATGAAGTCGTGCTCACTAGCCCTCCATCACATTCTTGCTGAAGAGTCGTCCTGCTGATTCTGCTTCATCTTGCACTGTGTCATCTTCGGTGGAAGCAGTCTTTAGATTTCTCCTTGGGCGTGAATACCTTCATTGGGGGTTATTATTACTTCATATCAGGTATATCCCTTCACTCTCTTTTGGTTTCATATTTGGTCCGATTTGGTTTCAAAATTGATCCTTAAAAATGCAGTTTTCTAAAATAGGGAATATGATTCCCACATGGGAGAGAGATAAATTTTTGAAATTTCGCCCAACCTTCATACAGGGTTCGGCCATCCATATGATGGATCTCTCATCCCTTCAATAAGTACTTATTTTTTAAAATAAATATTTAAAAAAATTGGATAGTAAATGCAAATAAGTATTTATTCAAATAAACACTTGTTTTTAAATACTTATTTAATAAGCATTTATTGCACTCCCAATGCCATCCGTCTCATTACACCCCCACAACCCATGCATTGGGAATATCTCCCCATGGAAAGCAAGGGGGATGTTTCAAGTGATGGAAGGGATGGGCTGTGGAGCACACTTCATGGGCAGCCGATCCGATTGCCTGAACTAAAGGCCTGTTTGATTTGTAGTTTAAATTGGAATTAGAATCAGAATCGAAATGGTCTATTCCTATAACCTATTTGATTAAGAATGAAAATGGAAATTAAAAACAACAAGAATGATAATTCATTTTTAAAAAAGAAATTATTCCCTCAAATGAGAGAATGCCGATTCTACACAACCAAACAATTAGAATCGAAATAATCCATTCCGATTCCGATTCCGATTCCGATTCTAAACCCTTATTCCCATTTACGAAAAGGGGTCTAAAACGAGTGCCGGAACTTTTACTCTCATCCGTGGAACGTTGTTGGGTTAACTACCCGTCACGGATTTTAGTGCAGTTGAGCGCCTCGCAGGTTTGTATCTATTAAAATTCGTACCTAAATTTGGACTGTGCCTCCGCTCTTCATTTCTAGATTGTAACTTTCGGACAATGTATTATCAATTGTTTTTCATGAGTTGACCCTGGGCAGCAAAAAGAAGAGAAAAGAAGAAAAGAAAAGAAAAACGAACTGACGTGGTTGATTGGCAACCCGCATAGCAATTGTGGGCTCTGGTTGCTTGTCTTTTATTCCAGTGGCGCTATTCCTTTTCTTGGAGCTTTGCCTCGTTCATGGTTGGGTTTGGAATTACCAAGGGTACGGGCCCATCTTGGCAATCCCAATTTTTTTCAACCTCAAATTGAGCATTGCTGGGCTGTCATTTTAGATACTCTGCTTAAGGGTATTTTTCTCCACTTCAAATCAGCCCCCACAAAACAGTTTCCCATAACGACCCACAGCATATTTCTACCATATATTGGAAGTATCTCCTAATGATAATACGAGAAATAATAAGGTATTATTGGGAAATATTCACAATATATGGTGGAGGTGTGCTGTGGGACATTGTGGGAAACTATCTTGTCAGGGGCTGTTTTTCTCATTGGTGCCCCACTCGCGCCTCACAGCCCATCTTAGCTTTCTGAACTCCTCTCCTGATGCTCAATCAAATAGTTTGGGTTTGTTTATTTGTAGAAAACTTTAGTGGTGTTTAGAACCAATGCCGTTTTCTCAGAGGTGTTTAATTTATCAGAAAACTGTGTTGCATAGACATATTGTTTTCTTATGAAACATTTTTTTAGGTTTTTTATTTGATACTATTGTTGTTTTTATTTGATATTAATGTCATGTCAGCATACTGTTGCCATAGAAAATGAAAAAACACAAAAAATGGCATTTTCTCATACCGTATCTTTTCGGATTTTCTAAGATGTGATATGATAAAATGCTTTTCAAAAAAAAAAAATGGCTAACCCAACATCAAGCAAGCATTTTCCAAAAAACGAATTTCATACGTAATCTGATGTAACACTGTTTAAAAATTGATGCCAAACACCTACTTTCTCTATTTATTGTTATTGATTATTCAGAGTGGGTGAATTATTTTTCACTCCTTTGCCGATTCTTTTCTCTGGCATTATCATGTCTTAATAAAGGAAAAATCTATGATAGTACATAAAAAGTTTTGACCAATCAAAACACTCCTAAATTGATTAATAATAACAACCGATAGGTCATATTCTTTTATAATACCAATTGATTGGCTGTAAAATTTTCCAATATCATGTCTTTTATAATTAAACCCCATAATGAAATTTGTCTTGAAAAGGCCTTCTACTATGATGGCGGAAAAAGGAAATTAATGAAAATGGATTTGGTCCTCACAACACTGCTCACTGCCTCGTACCTTTTTTTATAGCCGTTTCGAGCCTTGCATTAGGAATATCTCCCTACTAAAAAGTATATACATACGAAAATATTTTCAATGTGTAGAGACAGGATTTACTCTTAGAGCATGTCACTCTTAGACCTGTTCATAGGCCGAGTAGCTTGATGGCCTGGCCTGGCCCGCACCCCGGTCGGGTTTGGACATATAATTAGGCCCACGGGCCAAAATAACAAGCTCGACTGTATTTCGGGCTGGGCTTGGGATTTGTCAAAAAATCCCAGTCTGAGCCCGGTTTAACCCGGCTCGACTCAGCATTATATATTTTATAAAATATATAATATTTATTAGAATATATATATATTAATAATTTAATATATACATTTTTATTTTTTCTTTATAATTTCTCTCTCTCTATTCAGCCGCTTCAGCAATAGCAATGGCATGAGCTAGACTTCAGGCTCGGGCTTCAAGCTTTTTATGAGGGCCGAGCTTGGGCCCAAGTTGTAGGCTCGATGGTCGGGCTAGGCTTGGACGCCTTAGAAAAATCTATTAATGTAGAGTGAAAACCCGACCCATGAACAAGTCTACTCACACCGATCATATTATTATTCATGGGAGATATTCCCAATGCATGATGGAATGTGCCTATGAGGCCGATGTGAGGAGCGCTTTGTGAGGAGCAGATTTGATTCCCATGAAGGAAAGTGTAAAGGCTGTTTGAACGGTGTTTGAACAGCATTTGCACTGACTGAAGCCAATCTCGAATTGATGAGGTCGATTTACGTCAAAATTCGCCCAGGGTTTTTGTGGGATGATAGATTTTTCCGTAAAAGTGAAAATAACTAAAAAACGAGGGTATTTTTGGTAAGTGAATTTTAACCAGAGGGCAGACAGACAACAGACTAACCCTAGTTAAGGGGTTAGGTGGTTTGATTGAGCAATCGGGTTTGGTGGGCATTGGTCGCAGCTGCACATAAATACGCTCTCCGCTCTTCCCACGAGCTTTCAGAGGAGGCTCTCCCAACTCCCAACCATTTTTGGACGATTCCTTCTCAGTTCTCACTAGAGAGACGGACAGAGAGAGAGAGAGAGAAGTAAAGAGGGGTTGGGGGAGTCTCGCTCTTCGGTCACGACCATTGGTTCTTGGGGCGGAATTCTGGTGTCTCAGCGTCCGGAATTTCGTGGAATTCTGTTTCTGTTTGGTTTTTCGACAACGAGCTTGCGAGGAAGTTTGGCCGCAATGGACTCGGAGTCCGTGAAGATTTCTCCTATGGATCTTATGGCGGCGTTTCTAAAAGGAAGTTCTGATCCGTCGAACATGTCAGCGACGTCCAGCGAGGCGGTTTTCATTGAAAACAAGGAATTTCTGATGATATTGACGACTTCGATCGCTGTTCTGATCGGGTGTGTGGTTCTTTTCGTATGGAGGAGGTCGACCGGGCAGAAAGCGAGCAAGGTTGTTGAGGTGCCGAAGCCGGTGATAGTGAAGGAGCCGGAGCCAGAGTTTGACGACGGAAAGAAGAAAGTGACGGTCTTCTTTGGCACTCAGACTGGTACCGCTGAAGGATTCGCTAAGGTTTGGAGCTTTCGAAGCAATCATTAGTTAATTTGAATGTTTCAGCTTTGGTTTTTGGTCATTTTGCGAGTTTTTTTTTTTTTTTTTTGTTAAATTCAGGCACTTGTAGAGGAAGCAAAAGTACGCTACGAAAAAGCAACCTTTAAAGTGATTGATTTGGTAAAAGTTTTCTTCTTAATCTGAGGTTTCTTTTCTTTTTTATTTTTGGAAATGTTGATGATGATGTGCTTTGTTAAATTATTTCCAGGATGATTACGCAGCAGACGATGATGAGTACGAGGAGAAAATGAGGAAAGAAACTTTAGCTTTCTTCTTTTTAGCAACGTATGTTACACTCTTACATTTCCCACTTTTGCTCATTTGATTTTCTTTTAAGTGTTTTTTTAGCTAAATTCGAGTAATTCTACGTGGGTTGTAGATACGGTGACGGTGAACCAACTGACAATGCTGCAAGATTTTACAAGTGGTTTACGGAGGTAAATTCTGCAAAATTGAAGCTTAATTTTGAATTTTTGTGATAGTAATTACGTCGATTTGTTCTGATTATGTTGTTTATGGATTATAGGGGAAAGAGAGGGGAACTTGGCTTGAGAACCTTAAATTTGGAGTTTTTGGTTTGGGTAACAGGCAATATGAGCATTTCAATAAGGTAAGAAAGGAAAAACAAGTATAAAAATTCTCCTGCATATTAGATATTTCTGGTCTTTACTTTCTGTTCCTACTTTTCCTGATAAACTATAATTTTTTAATTGTCAGTTATTAATTTTGGTTTTTACATGTTTATGGGGAATAGGTAGCAAAGGTGGTGGATAAGCTTCTTTCTGAACAGGGTATGTTTCTTGTTTGCCTTATGCTGTTTAATTTTGCTTCATGCCAATGTCTTGATAAAAGTATCATTAAATAAGAATTATTATATAATGTATCATACGTACTTGGCTCAATCATGCCTTATCCAAACCATATGTTGTTAGCTATATGAATCCTGTTCCTCTATTTCGCTCTGTTCACTGCTATTCCATCTTTGTCTTGTCTGCAATTTTTGCATTTGGTTATGGACGCTGGTTTGCATATTCTACTGTACTTGCTTTTCTGCATTTTTTAATCTTAGAATATACTTCCTCTATAGATTACACAAAGCACATGCAAGAGGTTTATACCTATTCAACATTCTGGTTCACTCTTTAAAGATTTCCTTTCCTTTTCCATATTCCCATTTGCTTCAGTTAATATTCACCACAGAAGATTCCATATTAATTGATTCACAAAGCACAGTTTTGATGCGTGCATGTGACATTAACTGTTCAGCTAGAATCTGAAGGGGATTCATGCCAATGCATGAGAGCTATCCTTCTTCTGGATTCTAGTATGACAATTGATGGTGCATTGGCATGTAGAAGTGTGCTTTATGAATAGTTTTTATATGATCACACGATATGGTTGATGCCATGTTTCCCAATTAATTATTTTTTGGTAGAATTTCCCTAATTAATTACAGTTATAAATATAAACAATTATCTATTAATTTGATATTGCCATGCTACCATACTTGGGAATCTAAAAGATGCCTTTATTTGAGAATTTGCAACTCTAATGCCTAGTATCTATGTGACTATACATACCTTTATTACAAAGTGAAGCACATTGTTGAAAGTACCAACTTTGTATTATTTTGCCTCATTTTATTATGTAGCAAAATTAATTAAGCAAGCTTAATTATTGGTTAAGTTGTCTTATTTAATTTGCCACTAAATTGGTCTAGGAATATGGTCAGGTATGAATTAATGTACCTACTACCTTATCAGTGTGCTTACTGTTATTCTGTGGCTACATATTGATTAGTTAAATTTATCAAAGTGCATGAAAACCCTGCAAATATAGACAGTATATGCATTAGTTCACCCACTAAATTCAATGTATGACCCAGAGTTAACATTTTTTTTTTTGCCTTCAAAGGTGGGAATCGTCTTGTCCCGGTGGGCCTTGGAGATGATGATCAATGCATTGAAGACGATTTTGCTGCATGGTATTGCTTTTATGTATAACCTTTTGGATATTGTTCTATAAACTTGTTTATTTTTTCCTATCTACTAAGATCATTTATTTCATATTGAATGTTGCTTCTATAGGAGAGAATTAGTATGGCCCGAGTTGGATCTGCTGCTCCGGGATGAGGATGATGCAACAACTGTTTCTACCCCTTACACTGCTGCTGTTCCAGAATATCGGGTTGTCTTTTATGATCCTTCACATGCACCACTTCAGGAAAAGAATTGGAGTAATGCAAATGGTCATGCTGTATATGATATTCAACACCCATGCAGGTATTTTCTTAAGCTAAACATTCTGGATTTTAAACTCAATCTAATTTCCATATTTGTCTTGTCACAAATTTGAAAACATGTAAAACTGTTTGCTTGAAGGTCTAATGTGGCTGTGCGGAGAGAGCTTCACACTCCAGCTTCTGACCGTTCCTGCACTCATCTGGAATTTGATATTTCAGGCACTGGACTTTCGTAAGTTCTCTGCACCCATATCCCTTGAATTTTCTTTACCTTTTCAGTTGGGATTACTTTTATTGTGGGAATTGCAATGTAATGAACCACAATCTAGTTTTTCTTGGTATTTCATCTTTTCAGTGTTATGCTGTTGATATATATAATACTTGTTTCTTTTCAGGTATGAAACAGGAGATCATGTTGGTGTGTACTCTGAAAATTGTATTGAAACTGTGGAGATGGCTGAGAGATTATTGGGTTACTCCGGAGACATTTTCTTCTCCATCCATGTGGACAAAGAGGATGGAACACCACTTACTGGAAGCTCCTTACCCCCTCCTTTTCCTTCTCCTTGCACATTAAGAACAGCTCTGACACGATATGCAGATCTTTTGAATTCCCCAAAAAAGGTGAAGTTGTCTGATCAAATCCATTTACTTTTGCTTCACCCTTTTCATAATTTTTTTCCCTGTATTTTAGCCTTGCCACTAATGCTCTTTACCTCTTATAGGCTGCTTTACTTGCTTTAGCTGCTCATGCTTCTGATCCTCGTGAAGCTGATCGATTAAGGTTCCTTGCATCTCCAGCTGGAAAGGTTTTGAATTCTTTCAAAATTTTTATTACTACTGAACAGCTCCCATTTTCCCTCTTCTCATTTGGTATTATCTTTCTTTGTGCAGGATGAATATTCACAGTGGGTAATTGCAAGTCAGAGAAGTCTTCTTGAGGTCATGACCGAATTTTCATCAACCAAGCCTCCTCTTGGAGTGTTTTTCGCAGCAATAGCTCCTCGCTTGCAGCCCAGATACTATTCAATTTCTTCCTCCCCAAGGTAAATGGTACTCTTCTTATTTTAAATTTAAGCTACTCTATTTGCTGTTGTTGCTATAAGAAGTCAACTGGGCAATTGATAGAAGAGAGACCTCTGCCATATTAAATGTAGGAAGTGGTAGAAGTTCCTTTAAGTAACCTGTATGACAACCATTCATACCCAATTGTAATCTCATCCAATGTATTCTTTTGGATAGCTTGGTCTGGCAACTGTTTGGATGTAACAACAATCAATTCTTTTGGATGATCAGAAAATAAGGTGAAACACCTAACCATATATCTTATTCTGAAACCCATTATTCCCTGATTAGAATAACCATCTGATCCAATGATTTAAAAGGCGTGCCTAGGCTGGCTCCAGGCACAACACTGTCAAAAGGCATGTGCCTAGTGCACCTTGCACTTCAGCCCATGTGTGAACCTTTTTTACTTCTTGTCCTTTTTGTTCTTTTCTGAACCTAGTGCTTGCCTTGCCATTTTATTTTTTTTGCTTGCTTCACTCTCTTATAGAAGCTTTGAGAACCCCCTATTTGCTAATGTTTTTCATTCATTCATCCTAATAAAATATCTTCTTAATATATATATATATATATATATATATATATATATATACCTAGTGCTTGCCTTGCCATTTTATTTTTTTTGC